GAAATGAAAGAGTGAAAAATTGATTACTACATAAATACCAATATTTAACCCTCATTAAATCTTGTATGAAGTAGGAAGCAACCCTTTGAATGATATCAATTAGTAGTTCCCTCGGAAGGAATTCAATGAAGTTTTTTTAGACATAGAGATTTTTGAAGATTTCTTATTCATATTGAAAATTCAGTGAATTTTGAAAATTTGGAAGAGAAGAGAAAGGAACAAGTAAAAGTTGAATTCAAATGCATGTACTTATTATTTTTTTTTTGAAAATTTGGTAAAAATTGAAGAGTCACGTCATTAAAGTTTTTTTTAAAAATTAAAGAGTCGCGTCATTGTAGTTTCAATGATAGTAATGATATCATCACATTAAACGAAAATATTTTTTAAAAATATGTTGGTACAGATTCATTTTTTATAGTACTTAATAGACATAATTAACATATGTTGGCACAAATACAATTTTATGTTGTAAGATCTTACACATAAGCGGCATATGTTGCGACACATGTAATATTCTATGTTAAGTGGCAACACATAATTGTCATGTGTTGCAACAGATGAAATATTTTGTTGTAAGTAGCGATACATAATTAAATAAATCAAGCATTATATATAAATAACATCACATAAGTTGATTATAACTAAGATAAGAAGATAGGGATCATCCTCAAATAAGAAAGAACATTCATTAAAATTCAACAACATTTCTTATGGGGCATTTTGATTTGGGCATGTAGTTTTTTTGTGGCCAAAGTCCCTACATACGGAACACTTATTTTTTCTTGTTGGAAATGATTCATCAACTTCACGTTGTCTCTTATATTTCTTTTTTCCGGGTTTACTTAGATTAATATATGGATGAGGTATTTTTCTCTGTATGATATCCAAAGGGACGATCCAAGAATCTTCAAGTGGAACCGAGTGAATTTCTTGACAATACGTCATTATGTATTTTTTCACCGAATAATATGGAGAGGAGTACACGTAAATCTGATTTTCAAAATTAACAACATGTTGGGATCGAAGCGCTGCCATGGCATGTGGACAAGGTATTTTGTCCAAGTCAAAAATTCTACAAGTACAAGTTCTTCTTTGTAGATCAACAGTAGCAACATCTCCATGACCAGTGACACTGAACTTGTAGTTAGCGATTTGATGGGCCAACAACTTGTTGGCTGTGTTGACATACTCTGATATGTTTTTTTCAATTGAGGGAACAAATCAATTTGCAGAGTGCACCAGTTCAATATGCCACTGGTAAAATAACAATGCAAATCTCCTGTTTATTTCATCAAAAAGTGCGACAATGAGAAATTCTCTTTCAACATCAAACATTGCATTCACCAACTCCGTGATGTTTGACGTCATAATGTTATATCTACACAACAAAAGATAAAAATCAAAACAAAGCACATAAAGTAAAAATAAACTCAAATTAGATGATACCTATTTCTCAGGCAAAATGTCCTACTGCATGTGTGGAATTCAATATGTTCAAGAGTTTCAGCCGCCTTTGGTAGCAAATCTCTTATTTGATTGAAATGGTCATTGAACTCACATATATCGTACGCCTTTGCTGCTTTATAAAAATGAGACACTACCTTCGAATTGTGAAAGTTCGTTCGAATATTTTCTCCAAGGTGTCTCATGCAACAACCATAATGAGTGCAGGGTAGATTATCGTAACCATCTTTCGAATACTTGGATGCCTATCAGAGATAACGCACAACTCATCCATATCATCTACAAAGCTTCTCATATTTTGAAAAAAATATTCTATGAGACATCACTTTCCTTGTCCACGACACAGAATTCCATTGAAAATATATGATTCTCGGCATCTTGTGCCACTGCCGATAGCAGAACACCTCCATACTTGATCCTCAGGAATGTGTCATCAACGACTATTACTTTCTCATTTCTTGAAAACCAATTATCCAAGTAGCATATGATACAAAAAAGTACTGGAACCTCCTATTTTCATCGAGCGATAATGTCGTCTTACTTCCTGGATTCGCAACTTCAAGCATATAACGATACGCATTAAGCACGGCATACCTGTGCTCATGTGTTCCCCTAATATTAGACTTAGCATGCTTCATGCCCTTAAAAATATTGCAATAGTTTACCTTAAAACCCAATTCTTTGCGGAGTTGATTCGACATGTCTCTTGTGGATGGGTCTTTACCATTGAAAAACCTATTTTCAAAGTACTTATATATGACTTTTGTCGTGGCGTGGGGATTATGGCTTGTAAGATGCTCTGAACCACACGTATAATACTTTTTATAGATTCTAATGGAAAACTTGTTGCTATTTTTAAAATTCACAACCCTCAGCCACCAATTGCAATTCTGATATGAACATTTAAAGGAAAACACATTACGAGAATTGATAACCTTTTTCAATCTAAAATCTTTTTTCAAGCAAGCAATTTTCAATGAATTTGTCAATTCTTGCTTGTTTTTGAATGTCATTCCCTTATAAAAACATGTTTCATCATTTCGAACATTATTCGCACGTGAAGATTAAGAAGCACATGGATTGTTGCTGCCAACTATAGGTGTAGGAGGAAATTTGCTCTCAAGGTTCAGCCCTTCAGCTTGACCTTCACCTTCACCTACACCTTTACCTTCACTTGTTCCAATTTCATCATCGGGATTATTCATGTCCGCAGGATCAAATTCATCATTAAACATATCTTGATGGCTTTCGACTATATTATGATCCTTCTTGATAGGATTTTCTTTCATATAGACTCTTAATATGGACGGTTTCTCTGTTCATCCCAAATAAGCAATCAAACTAGATTGATAAGTTATTCTAAAAGGTAAAACCTTCTCATTATGAAAAAATGGAGAATGTAACTCATGATAAAATCTTGCGATTTACAATTGTATCCAGACTTTTACATGACTAAATTGAAGAATTTATCACACAACATGTTTTTTTCGACATACATCCCTACTGAACTGGCTCCTCGTTTATTACTATTCTCCCAACGCCATATGAATCAACTTCTCTTCTCGATCTATTCACCACGACAATCAATCCGTACAAATATTGACATTGTATCTCAAGAAATTAATTAAAAAAATAATTAGTAATTATGAAGAATAAGTATATGCTTCAACATATGATTATTTTGTGGCGAGATGTAAGTCATATATTGCTATATATGACTGTTCTGTTGTGACAAATAAATCACATGTGGAAACATTTTTGTGTTATATCATATGTTGCCACATATAAATTTTCTGTTGTGAAATGTAAGTCATATGTTGCTACATATGACTGTTTTGTTGTGACAATAAATCACATGTGGCAACATGTTTATATTTTATCATATGTTGTAACATATGACTATTCAGTGGCGAGATGTAAGTCATATGTTTCTACATATGATTGTTCCATTGTGACAATAAATCACATGTGGCAACATGTTTATATTATATCATATGTTGCAACGTATGACTATTCTGTGGCAAGATGTAAGTCATATGTTGCTACATTTGACTCTTCTGTTGTGAAAAATAAATCACATGTGGCAACATTTTTATGTTATATCATATGTTGCCGCAATTGATTTTTCTTTTGCGAAATGTAACTCATATGTTAATATATGACTGTATAGTTGTGACAATATATCACATGTGGCAACATGTTTATTTATATCATATGTTGTCACATATGACTTTTTCGTTGCGAGATGTATGTCATATGTTGCTACATATGATTGTTTTGTTGCGATTGGAATAACAATTATGTTGCCACATATGACTATAATATGTTATAATAGTCAATTCTTGCAACATATATAACAATATGTTGGAAACGCGAATGCAAATTATTGAAAAAATTGCAGGTACCTAGATCAGATGATAATGACATGAATTGATTTCAAATAACTATTAATTTACTTACCAAAACAATGATGTGTGACTCAATCGCTTATGAAGTAATTCTATTTGAAACAAAACGAAATTTGATCCACTAGTTACATATTTGGTAAACCTGATTCAAGAAGAAGAAAGCACAAACACTAGCAGCGAAGACCCACAATATACGAAAAAAAGAAAAAGAAGAAGATGAAGAAAACAAGAAGAAAGGCAAGCAAGTAAGCAAAGACAAGAGCTAAAGAAAAAGAAGAAGAGGACGAATACGACGACTGGGGGCGGGGGAAAAACTTTTATTTTCCCTTTTGGCTCGATATTTTCCACCAAAATTGGTTAAATTAGGTTTGATTTAGTCAATTTACCCTTTTACCCCTCATTTTATTTTCATAAAGGTTGGTTAAATTAGGTATTGTGAAATTACCCTTTTACCCTTCATTTAATTCAGTGCACCAAACTGTCAACTTATAAACTTGGGAGCAACTTCACAACCCTTAATCATTAATCATAATTGTCACCTACATCCAATATTTAAGACTTATTTCACCACCCATTTATTTTGAAACCTTATTATCTCTATATAATTGGATCAAGTAAGTATCACACCAAGTCGCTAAATGATATCATGACTTATTTTTTTACATCTCATTTTACTTTATGTGTTTAACTACTATATTTTTTATGGTAAAAATGTAATCTCAACCGTAATGTTGCACTATAGCAACTTAATTCTCTCTTCTCGCAATGGCTCTACAAGAGTGAGAGTTAATATTAATGAATTTTATGAGAAACAAATTACATTAGATGAGTGTCCATACGAACATTAAATATTGAAAAAGATTTATATTTCTAATTTTTGAATTTTGTGCTTTACTATGCTAGAATATAATACAAATATTTCTCTCACCATGATTTATCATAAATGTATTTTTATTATTTATTATTATTATTATTATATCATTTATAAAAAAATAAGTTACATAATTTATGATTTGGTAAACTTAATATTTTGATTGAACCAATAATATCGCCATTGAATTTAATATGAAACTATAGTATTATTAGATTGTCAAGTAACTTAAACTTTTCATATGAAGTATTTATCCTTTCAACTTTTTATGGGTATGAAAATTTCTTTTCAGTATTTTTTCAGAAAAAGTAATATCAAAATGGTATTTTAACTTGTGTTTCTCTCTCTCTCTCATATTTGTTTCCCCTGGAAGCATCGGTGACATTGTAAAACATTCCCTCCAGAAAATTCGCTATTTGTCTTCCTTCCCCACTCGCTCTGCAACTAATGCTCTGCCTCTTCAATGGTATATCTTTTTACTTCCCTTCGCGAAGCTATCTTTATTGGGTTGGTTTGACACTTTTTGTTTAATCACAATTTCAGGAAGAACACGCTTCAAGTAGTAGTAGTAGTTCTCAACTACAACCTTCATTAGATGATTGTTTGAAGCTATTCAGAGGAGAAAGGGATGAACAGAGGTTAGCCGGTCTACTTGTTGTTACCAAATTTTGCAATAAAGATGACCATACAGCCATTCGCAAGATTTACGATGCCCTAGGACCTCAATTCCTACACCGACTTCTTCGAACCGGTAAACGCTCTTTTTCTTCACCGAATTTTAAGTTGCTAGTTAAGTGTTCACAATTTCATTATCAATGCTCATTTCTTTACAACTGTAGTCAAGTTGTCTTTCTTATTCCCTTTTCGCCCAAAGCTAGAATGCAAGGTTGCTTCCACTCCATCCTCAAATTTGTATTTAGGGTTCATTTACCGTAAATTATGTACCTGTGTGCCATCCCAATTAGAGTGTTCAAGTTGCTCTTTTGGGATTGAGTTGTGATTTATTGATTGGTTGGAATTTTTAATCTGAAATTTCTTCCTTGTAGGAATAGGGAAAGGAAGTGATGTCGGGAGTAGCGATAATCGTGATGCCTACTTGCAATTGTCGATCACAGTTCTTGCAGCATTTTGTAGAGTTCCCCAGATTGCAGCTTCTGAAGAAATGATTAATAAGATTCCTCTCATTCTAGAGGCAATATCCAGAGAGTATGTTTTCTGCTGAATCTTTCATTGGAAATTCCAGTTCTGTAGTTTATCTGAAGTAGTTTTCTACTGTGCCGGAGAGCTCAGGTGATCCAGTTTGCTGGATTACAAGTACATTTGACTTCTCCATTCTCCTTCAAAATGTGTAACCATAGCATTTTTGTTTACTCTTCCAGAGCAGGATCACCTATAATTGAAGACTGCTATGAGTATTTGTTTTTGGTCTCAACGGCGAGTGAAGAAGGGGTTCAAACCTTGTACAAATCTGGTGGCTTGAATGTGCTAGCTTCACAAATGATGATTCTACCCGATGGTATTTAGTTTGATCATTGGAAACATGTTACTTTTCTATGGATCACAGTGGCACCTTTTTGCTTCAAGCTTTCCATTGTCTCTACATAGATTTAACCTGATTTTGTTTCTGAATCCTTCTTTATTTTTGAATTGTTTTCAGGTTCTCATATGATTGAACTTGCTCTGAGACTTGTGCAAATCATTGTCATTAAGCTACCCTCGGAAAATGTTTATTCTGAGCATCCAACTGACCTGTCACTGGTGGTGAGTCTACCAGAACTGAGTCCCTCTGATAAGCCTTTTGGTGCAGTTGTTGGATGCTGAATTTACGGCATACTGTGTGTTTTCATGTATATCTTTCTACACAAATTGTCGTGCACTAAATTTCTATGTTGTATATGTTTGTGGTAGGTGTGTGCAGTGGCAAAGCAGTTTGCTGTTCTACAGAATGCACTGAAATTTGAAGCGCTTCACCTCCTATCAACTATCCTGTCCAACAGATATTCTGTATGTTAGTTACTTTATATTAAGCACATGTATCTGTACTTCTGGTGTAATCTAGTCATGTATCCTTACTGGCACACTAGCAACTATATTAAATTTTTTCAAAATCTTCTGTTTTATGATTATCCTTGTTTTGGATGCCAATTGACTGATTCATTTGTCATTATCAGTACCATATTTACTAGGAGTCCCTTCTCGATCTGGCAGCTTCTCTAGCTTTTTTCTTCATAATGTCTAGAGATGTTCATAATATTTGTATTTATCATTCATATTAAAAAAGCTTTTGAAATGAATGTCTTAGAAATGTTTGTATATCCTTAGGAATAGAATTGTAAAAGAATATAGCCGAAAAAGCCAATCAAAATGTATGGTTGTATATGTAGACTGTAGAGTTAAAATTGATAGATAAATTGATTGATGTAGCGCATTCCTACTTACTGGGATATGCTCTTAGTGATCTTTGACAGTATGTAGTTGACCTATTGAAGAAGGTTTGATACATTTTATTTTGCATTCAGTCATAAGTTCTGTGTTTTCCTTGAACCCCATGTACGCTCCTTTTTCATGTCTCTATTGTTTGGAATCTCATTGACCGTTACGCACAATTTACAGGCACCTGTATATGATGCTCTTCGCTTAGTGGAAAATGATGTTTGGTCGACAAATTTGTGGATTGGTATTCTGGCGATCTTGCAAAATCGAGTTGGTATGTTAACATTAATGTATAAATATATTTCTTCGTCTTTTTTGCATAAATTCTTCAGCTTCAAATATAGTAAAAATATTTTTCATTATCTCCTGTGAAAATGATTTTTCTTACTTTCAGAGAATATGTGAGTGAATGTAGAGGTCTAGCACATCTATAAGATGAGTTTCGTAGAAATGCTGATGCTGAGATAAATTGTACTCAGAGAGATTAGTGAAGATCATAATTATCATATCAGACAGAAGGTGCTAGTAGTCACTAGTCACATAGAGGATGAACGAGAGTAGGTCGCGTGCGATGATTTGACCATGTCTTACGTATTGCAGTTTTCATAGGTGTAAAATTGTGATGATTGAAGTTGCTAAGACAGGATGAGTTAGATCCAAAATCATGTGGGCTAAAGTTTCATAAAAAAAAATACAATCTCTTGGAATCAATATGGGTTTAGGTAATAATAGAACACATGGAAGCAAATGATCATTTCTAAAGTTGCCTAAGCTACTTTAAATGGATTTCTTGCTTGGTTTTTGGATCGAAACTAGTCATGTTTTGGTTGAAGTGTATAGATCCTCTCTTTATGGATTATGACTATATTAAATCCACCATAAAAGGGATTTGATTGTAGTCTGTTCTGTAGAAGCCTAAGTTGCTCGGACCCTTCACCTTTTGTGCCGCACTTGTGTTGACATGACATGTGTTTGGGTGTGGGATTTGTGTCCGATTTGGTCAACCAATTTTGGGTGCTTTGACCAAAATCAATGCGGAAAGTCTGGACATTGATGATTTCTGTAATCAACTACAAAAACTAAGGTGAAATTGGAGAAAATGGAATACCTTTAAGAAGGTAAAAGGGTCAAAATTACCCCTTAACTTTGGTTTATTAGTTAATTATGCCCTCGCCGTTAAAATGAAGTTATTTTTGCCCCTGCCGTTACTAATTTCATCATTTATGCCCCTCTGTTGACGGAAATATCCATATTGACTTAAATTAACCCGAATTCTTTTAAATAACCCATTCTCCTTTTAAATCCATACCCGACCCGTCTAAAAACCTGACCCAATAAATATTTTACCCGTTTTTCTTACCCATCGAAAAGCCTCTCAAGAACTTCAACCTGCTCAGGTGTATACCAAGCATACTTTCCGTTATCCAACACCGACTTACCATACTTGTAGGAAGCATTTTTCTAAAACAGACAAACTGAAATGCCCCTTTATGAAAGATAACAAATAAGCTTCACTGCTTTTTCTACCCTTTTGTCTTCACAACAATTCAACTTTTTTTTAGAATTTTTCTTCTTGAAAGCTCTGATCAAAATGAGAATGTCTTGAAGTATCCTTTTCTTGGTAATACTAAAAGAGAAGACCAATTTACCAAACTAAAACGACACTAGACAACTTGTATTTTTAGATTTCAGAGCTCCCAATAAACTACTAAAAATACACTTCCTTACTCATCTTTCACCACTAACTATTTTTTTTTAAAAAAAATCCAAGTATTTCTCAACATGTCATACATTTCTTCTTAATTTTGAAACAAGATAAGAAGTGTGAAAAACACTAAAAGATCCAAGCTTTATACTTCAGAAGATCAAAAAAAAAAAAAACCCAAAAACAGATCTTCTTCATGTACCTAAAAATTGGAGCATCTTTAAGTGTTTCAACAAAAAGTAAACCAACCCCATACAAAAAATTTCAAAGACTACCGAGGAAGATCTTGTAGGCGTGATGAGATATTATCAATAACGGACCTTGGACTGGTTAACAACGAATGAAATTGGTTAAACGGGTTAAATGTTTATTGGGGGATTTGAGATATCTTGAAAGAATGGGTAAAAAACAGGTAAAATATTTATTGGGTCAGGTTTTTAGACGGGTCGGGCATGGATTTCAAAGGAGAATGGGTTATTTAAAAGGATTCGGGTTAATTTAAGTCAATATGGATATTTCCATCAACAGAGGGGCATAAATGATGAAATTAGTAACGACAGAGGCAAAAATAACTTCATTTTAACGGCGAGGGCATAATTAACTAATAAACCAAAGTTAAGGGGTATTTTTGACCCTTTTCCCTACCTTTAATATAGACGTTTCTATACCACCTCTTTTCTTTTGATCTCCTTACAATATTTCTCCTCAAGTTCTCCACATAATATCTCATAATTTAGGTTTTATAACTATTTTTAGATATTTTAATTATTTATAGGCAAATTCCCGTACCCTTATCAATACATGGATCCATATCCCCCAATCTTAAAACTTAGATCATTGGATTGGAAACCCGCACCCGAGTCCGAGTAACTTACATAGAAGCAAGGATGTCTTGATAGAATATATGAAAACAACTATTGTGAATAGGCTTCAATTTGGTTAATAATTTTCTTATAAATCTTGAAGGCAAAGGGATCAACAGCCAGAAGATTAAAATCAAATGCCTTAGTTTACTTTATTTTTGGTGTAAACAGGAAGTGGTAGGGGATACTGTAGACATAGTTGACTTCATAGGTAACTTGTAAAGTTTTTTGTTGAGTAGTCTTCACTGTGGAAAGTGCACACACCATGTGTGAATTGTAAAATGTTCCTCATTATCTTTTGTTGATGAGTTATTTGTGAATATAAGATTACGTTTACTCAATTTTTTTTCTTAGATAATTTAAAGTTTATTCGTATGGATTCTTAAAATGTCAAATGAAGTAGTTGATCATATATTTATAATCAATTTCTTTTTATCATTGACATGATGACCAATCTGTGTAATTTTTCTTGAGATGTTGACAATTATGATTTTATTAATTTTTGTTTTGGAAAGTTTTAACTGAGTTAGCTATTATAGAAATTGTTGAAATTATATATAAGCAAAGTAGATATTGTCGAAACTAGAAGTTGTATTATTTATTAAACACATGTGTCAGTAACAAAGATTTATGTTATGAACCTACTGTTGTATTAGTTATGCAGAGTTGTATTTTGGGATCAACTGGACTAATAAACCATCTGTCAATGTTTAAGGCCAAAATGTGCTTAATGAGTAGGCCCTACTATTATAAGGTTAACTTTCATTTTCATTTGTTTTGTTGTCCCTTCTATTCGACGTTGCTCTATACTTTTAGAGAAAATATTGGTTGAATTGTTGTAGCTGGGGAGTGCATAACTGATATTCTTGTTAACTGTTGTGTCAACTTTCCATCCGCCTTCTCAATGGTATATAATCGCGTCAGTAATGACTGTCGCATGTTTCCTAAGTCGGGCATTTTCCATTTCAGTGAAATTGTGCATGTTTTTGGTCAATATTAAGTTGCTTTGAGGTCCTTCTGTGTTTTGTGCTTTTTTTTTTTTTTTGTAATTCTCCTTTCTCGTCATTTCTATGCAGCACCTTCACATAAACTTCATGCTCTTGTTCTGACCGAGTGTGTCATATCAATTGTTGGTGAACGGTGGCTTAATGGGGAGATGAACTTAACTGGTTCTCAGGTTTCCCTGCCTGCTGACAGGTAAAGCAGAATTTCATGGTGTTGAATTTTGTACTTCTCTTGCTTTAACTTGCTTCATTCCTGGCTTTTCTTTTGAGTTTGGACGCGGAAAGCAGTAAGTGTCTGCATTTTTTAGGTGCATTCTGCTTATTTTGGAGTCGTCAAGGGTTGAAATTGCTGTTCTTCTAAATGATCTGGCATACTTAAAATATGAAGCCTCCAACGCATCCTCGAATAGAGAGAACATTCTTGTGAAGCAGAGGAATCTTGGTGTAGCCTTCTCTTTGGTTGAAAAAATAATTAAACTTATTTCTAGTTTTGGTGGAGAAGGTATGTGACAATATTTGTGGTACAAAAACATTTCTTATATTTTTGATACTTTTCAGAAAAATATTACTGAGAAGATTAACATATAACATGATTTATGCTGTAATAGTTAAAATTTTGAAAACTAAGGTCATCTCCAGTTGCACTACCCTTTATTGTCAAATAGGAAGCCTGCTCTGGGACAGAGGGTGTGTTTCATTTGCATGTTATGCTTTGCTGTTATTTCTTGATCAGTAAAGAGAGGTGTTAGGAGGTGACTTATGAGCTGATTATTTAATGAAAATCATTTGCAGAGTCAACTGCCAATGCTATTATCAGTGAGAGCACTTTCACAAAAATCATTTCTGGGCTCAATGAGACAATTGGTGTTGTTTTGGACTATATACGAGATGCTAAGGTACTATTGTCCATCAGTACATAGGAAAACAATTATAGCAAGTCTGCTCATGCAATGATGATTCTTCACAGGAGCATGGACAGATGAAAGGGGATGATCTTCTAGCAGCAGTGCGAGTAATCGGAAGGTATGGACAGATGAAAGGGGATGATCTTCTATGCTATCTATCTCCTATCATCATTACACAAATTAGGGGTGTCAAAAATGAACCCAAACATAGGTAACCCGCCCAGAATTTCAAGGGCTGGGCTCAAGATAATTTAAATTGGGTTCAATGTCAACCCATTCAAGTTTTGATCCATTTGAAAAGTATTCTCAATTGAGCCCAATTCAATCTCCAATGTCAACCCGTTTTAAAACTTTTTATTAAGATATGTTCCTATATTGAAGGTATGAATTATTATATATTTAACATCTTTTATGATTTACCTATCTATTTGTTACTTTTTTAACAAAAAATTATTGAGTTGAAATTCAAATTGTGATTATAAAAGTTAAATATCAATATGTTAAATTATTAAGATTAATCGGGTCAAATTGGGTGGATCAAGACCCAACCCGTTTTTTAGCCCATTTGAGCCCAACCCATTTGAGCCCAAAGTAAACTTAGGCAGGTCAAGATCAACCCGATTTCTATTCCACCTATTGTAATATTTCCAATTTCAACTCAATCAGCCAATTTGACACCCCTAACACAAATATTTAGAGTTATAACATAGATATGTACAGATATTTAGAATGTGTCCAGTCATGCTAACACGGCCTGACATTAATTTTTTTTTTTTTACCTTGTTGCTTTAAATCATATATTTCTTTTAATCTTTGGTTCAATGATGTTTCTCAAATATTAATTATAATTTTTTTTTGATATTATTGATGATTAATACCTTTCTCAAATAATAATCATAATGTCTTTTTCTATATTATCAGTTATTTATTAAATTTTATTTGTAACATCATTGAGATTACACCCCGTAAATCCATGGAACTTACGCCCCGTGTCTCGGGGCTTACGCCCCACCCATACTGCATAAAATGCCCTGCCTCACGCCCTTGCCTGTTAAACACTAGTCATAATATGATCTTTTTCCTAAAAACTCATAACAAGGTGGAAAATCCATCCAAACTCTTCCCAAAACCTGGTGTCACTAGTACAAACCTTTAAGAATTCGAATACTACACTATAAAGCTCTATAACATCTGTAAAGAAACAGCATAAAATGAAAAGATAGATGAGACAGAGGAAGATTGTGGATCAGTTAGACAACTACCTTGGGATCTTAATAATATGCTCCGGACATGTGAAGGAATTAGGAGAGGTAAGGTAGTAGAGGTCTTGTATCCGTGCCAATCTTCTGTCCTGTACTGCAGTTCTGCGTAACAAAAGAATCGTCAAGAAGTATCATAGATTCCTATTCCTATAGATTTGATTCCATGAGGGGAACTTTTATAAGCATTGAATGTCTTTTGTTCTTTCAGCTACCTTGCAGAAGCACCAGATGCATGTAAAGATAAGGTTATAGAACTCCTAGGTTATATTCTTTCAATTGAAGGGGAAGATGAATTGAGGTTTAGCATTTCTGTTACTGTTTTTTTCAAGCGCAAATATTTCCCTTAATCTCTTGATTTGCAGCTGACATGGTATTTCTGACATGGTTTCAAATGGCAGTCCTTTTTATTCCATCTGTTTTTTACTTCCAATGCTGTGTCAAATAACTCTCGAGACTGGAGGATGTAAAATTTTAGCTTCCTCGGGTGCATTTAGAGAAGTGAGTCTCACTTTTGTTCTAATTTCTGAGATCAATACAACGATATTCACAGTCTCTATGAACCAAAATTTGTATGATAGCTTGCAGGCCATGAATATGTCCCTTTTTGTCTCTTGATTTTCTGAGGGAATGTATTTAATTTGCAGGTTGTTGGTTACCTCATTGCTTTGATTGACCAAAACAATTTTACGTCTGAGGATAATGGTTCTATATTCTTGGCTTGTGATACAATTTTGAATCTTCTTCTAAAGGTAGTTTTCATGCTGTCCTGCAGTACCTTAATTGGTGAGTTAGTTTTATTTGTGACATGTAATCGGCAATCATGCCTTCTCATGAACAGCAGGAACAAATCAAATTTCCCTCAGATGATCCTAGTTTTATCAGACTTTTGGTAGCATTGTCACGCTGGGCGGGTAATATCTCTTACTCAGATTGTTGCACTTGCCGAGCCTGATCTCCTTATTTCAACTGTTGAAGTTTCTTGGTTTCTTTTCTTTCATATTTCCTGCCTGTAGCATCATCCAAAAAGATGAGCAATTGCTAGTTTGATACCCGTCAGCTTTTAGCGAAGAGGTGTTAACCTTTAAATGGCCCTGTCCCTAGCTGCAGTACATTTTGCGTTAATTATAGATTAGATAAAAGAATGCTCAAAGTCTCTCAAAATTGGTAATATTAAGATGCTGCTTGAAGTCGGTTAATGACTTACTGTTGCTTAATATGATTTGAACCAATGTATGTCGAATTTGTTAAAAGCGGGAAAAGGGTCTCTTTGACATTATATGTGCAAATAGTCACATAGTTCCAAATATTTTTTGAGTGCCAACATAAATAGCATCTTAATTTGTTTGATTCAAGAATTTTTCTAATGGGATCAAATTTGTCCTTCATCTCTTTTCTCACAAATCAAATATGGATATCTATGCATATCTGAAACCACAAAACTGCAAGGTGGAAACTCCATTTATATGGGCTTTTCAAGTCTCGTCTTTTCATCAAGTATACACTCGGACAAACATTGAAGTAGTGGGCTTTTGTAGACATTGAAATTTTGTGGGATTTCACAATAGGTTTTGAGACTTCACAAGATGTATTCGATTTCTGTTATAATACTCGGACGATATTCTATCCTAAACTCTAGCTTATGCCTATACGATGGGTATTATATTCCCTTTAAGAGATTCTCGAATATCTCGTCAATTTTTGGGATATTCATAAAGAGAGAAGATATGCCAAAGTCTTTTTGATAATCAAATCATTTAAGAAGATCCACAAATCCTTTCGTGGAGATCAAAGTCCATATCATCCAAGTTCGAGAAATACGCCTCGATTGACCTTTGAATCACGGAGAAATGTTAAGAGAGAAGAATCAAGGGAAGAACAATTTTGTGCCCTTTAGTATTTATTAATAAATCTATGTTCATGTTTCATTTTTTATTACAATTTATTTTTCATCACTTTTAAATTTGTTGCAAACAACACATCCTCATCAGAAGATTTTCAGTGTGTGTGTGATGATCTTGTTCCCATGGATACCTCCTCTTTCTCCCCTACATTCTCCTCCTGAGACCATTAGGGTGCATTCAGAGCTTCTTTAAAGTCATTTCTTCTCTAACCAGCCTGTTTTCTCTTGTCCCTTTGGCATTTAATTATTGAATTTCTGTTGCTTAAACATAACTCATTCTCCATATTTTTTATGCTCAATTTTTCGTTTTCCAGTAAGCTCATAATTGTTCCATTACTTGCTCCTACGGATGAGAAGTACAGATAGAAAGGCAGAAAAGGAGGTTCCCCTATTAACGAAGCTTTCCAGTTTTGAAACCAAGGTTAACCAACCCTCATTAAAAGCATTCTCTGGCACTATAATAACTGCTCTGGAGGCCCCTGTAGCCGCAATAACTGAAATAAACCAACCAAATTTGTTGAATTTCATGGAGCAGAACAAAGACATATCCTTGTCTCTGCTTCTCCATGGCTTGTAAACCCAGCCCTTGAAGTTAGATTCCTTTCTAACTCTCCGTGACAACCAGAGTAGAGCCTCATTGCTTAGCGTCATTTCTGGTGTAAAGCCTAGAAGAGCTCTCAATCCATTCATACCATTTCTCTCTTAAATAAAGACGATGACTCAATTACGTCAAAGGACTCCCCCCCAGATCTAAAATAAATACGATTATCCATGATTAATAGAAGGCTTAAAAAGAAAAAGAAAAAGAGGATTGAGAAACTCCAGCAGTCGAATACCACCGGGAAAGGTAGTTAGAGATCCAAAAGGCGAACCAAGTGACTACCTCGAAATTAGTGCATGAGAGCCTCAATTTATTTTACCATAACATTCACCACTTACTCAAATTCCATTAGACCTCCACCAACTTTTCCAGTTGGGAAATTGAGTTCCTTCTTTTCTTTTTTATAAAGGAACAACCCATTCTAAGGGCTCATTTCAAGGGTACACCAATCTAAACAAGTTTATCTCCCAGATTTTGGCAACAGAATATATCAGAACTGCTAAAACTTAAAAGTACCTTTTCTTTCTTTTTTCTTTTTACATTATTTTAAATACATAATACTTCACTTCTTTTTTTTATCAGGAAGTCACTTCTCACTTCTGTACAGATTTTTTCCCCGAAATGAAACTAAACCAAACAATTGATATTAAAAGTAACATAGCAAGCTAAATAACCATTTTAATTTAATTCAACACTTGGGTTAGGTCTTTGGGATATAAGTCATGACCAAGTAATAGAAAGCCTTACTCAGTTGTAGAAAGATAATGCTCTCTAGTTTACTAGAAAGCTGGATTTACAATGAATTGGTATATGTTTTGCTTGTCCAAATCAACACTTTGGTCAGGTTTTTGGCACACAAGTCATTGTTGATTCCGACATCAGTGGGCATTAGGGTCCTTGATCTTCTTATATGGTCTTGGGCTATTCTTCCTCATGAGCTAGCTTTTGGGTTGAGTTAGGTCCAAGATTCATTTCTTTATCATGGTATTAGAGTTAGGCCCAACCCGATTCATTATTTTGTTCGAGGTTGAGCCCCCATTTTATATTGTCTACGCTCTGGATGTCCAGTCCTAGGCCTTTTTTTTTTTTTTTTGGGGGGGGGGGGGTTATTGAGTCCCATATTGGTGGGCATTAGGGTCCTTGGTCTCCTTGTATGGTCTTGGAGACTTGGACAATCCTCTGAGCTAGCTTTTAGGGTTGAGTTACGCTCAAGATTCATTTCTTTATCAGTCATTATTTGACAAGTAATGACTGAAAAGCCCTGCTCAAGCTTAGAAAGATTATGCTTTGTAGTCAGCTAGAGAGCTGGATTTCCAATTAATTGGTGTCTTCTTGTCCAGAAAAAAGGTAAATTGTGTGCCAACTGCGAAGAAGTAAATTAATCATTAGGGGATCCTAATCCATATCACATATAGATGACACAAATTCATCTGTTTTTAACAAAACCGATGAAAATATCTACTATCTAGAGCACTAATGTTTGTGTGGACTTCAAAACACAAGTACAGTATTCCTCATTACCAGATCAAAGAAAGTGTCAGCCAATAATTATTCAATTCAAAAAGAAACAATGATGACATGGGAAGTCTTAAACAGGATAAAAAATATTCTTAAATTAACTTTTAGAAAAGAATGTGACCAAAATGTCTAGAGAGCTATAGCAGAAATGGGGAACCTTAATCTCTCCAGAAGATGATCTTTACTTCTCCTTCTGCCATCTAACTGTAGATGACTCTGGACATAATGACAGTTGTATCTGAAAATAGAAGTATCAAAGAGGTGCATAAGGCATCATAATTCCTTACTCTAGTCTCCTACTTCCTCAAGCTAGGGAAGGTTTCTGTTTAGCGGTGGTTCATTGCTGTTTCCATCAAAGGAACTTCTGATGCTTCAAGTCTTAAATCTCAGCTATCCGGCTGTCCCTCCAATATGTAAGATTGTGAAGCTCTTTTTTGTTGATCACACATGAGCACAATAAGTAAATATCAAAGGCAAGGGAGGTAGAGCTTGTTGAAATTTATTTTCCAATTTTCCTGTTTCCGTGTGATGCATGTGTTCAACATTACTGGGACGATTTGTAGATTCTGAGCTGGGTAGAGGGATTCTAGATAAGTAGAGTAACAGGACGACGATGGAGAGGATTGAGTAAAGAGACCAGAATGTGGTGTTTTGTAGAGGAAAGAGGACGAGGGGTATGAGTTGCTTAGTGGGACTATATCTTCAAGCTTGGACGATCCCTTGATTGAGTAAGAGTTGCCTAAGTGTAATCATTGTTTTTGAGAACACGAGACAGAAAAAAGAAACAAAGGCATTCTTTCTCAAAGAAAGAAGTGAAGCACAAGGTTTCAGAAGAATATAAAAATTATGCACAAACAAAATAAAATATTTTAATAAACAACAAAGCAAAAATAATACCTATAAGCAGTCCTTCAATTTAAAAAGTAAAGAGCTAATAATAATGATGTCGTTATTCCCAGAAGAGAATTGGCACTTTAAGAAATAAACATCGATAATGATATTTTGTAGGGATGTCAGATGAACCTTAATGAAATTCTGGCTTCATAATCTTCTGGGTGAATTTCCGACTTTATTTGCCAATAATTCCAGAGCGTGTTATTATCAATTGAAATATATTTATGTAAATAAAGAAGACCCGTTCTTGAGTAACATACTGTTCCTCCATGTCATCACTAATTTTGCAGTTATTTGTGACCACCAAGAATATAGCACATTTTTGTATCTATAAATTACTGATACTAACAAATTGAACTAGAGGTGGTAGATGCTCGGCTTCTGTCTCTTGAGACATACTGTGTCAACTATCTTTCACTTAAGTTGGTTTTTAGTTGCTTTCCTAAGGTTGCTTAAATTTATATATTTGCTTCCAGAGGGTATGGATGATGCATCTATTATCATGATGGCATCAAGTATCTGTTCGCTTATACTCGATTTGACGTCAGAGGAAGCTCTTCTAAATCATCCAGACTTCATTAGTGGCGATGTTGGTAATCTGTCAAAGCTCATTAGACGAAGCTTTGTGATGTGTGGTCAGGTAATCACTGGCTTATGCTTCAGCTGTTTTGTTGTTGCCTGAATTGACTGATTGCTTTTTCATAGTTTGGGATTACTCATAAGCAATTTCATCATCCGTTCTTGCGCACCCTCCCCTTCACCCATTTAAAATGACATGAGAAAATAAACATTCCAAAGAAATAATCTTTAGCTGTGTTTTTGATCCTCCAGTTGACAAATTCTTGTTCTGACTGCACTCAGGACTTGATATCCGATGATGCTAAAGCTGAAGTAGATCTTTTTCAGATAATTACCGCAGGTTCGTAATTCTGTTGTGTCATTTGCTTTACTTCATGAAGGTCTAAATGTTAATAAATCAAATCTCTGTCATCAGATCAGATTGTATTTTGGGTCTAATCCTGTCTAAATAAGTATTGTACAAAGATGTCAGTTCACCGCCACTCCATTTACCTTTATCGCTAATGATGTTATTACGGCGGTTCACCATTATCAACTATCACCATCCACAATCCAGGGGCAGATTTTCACGGAGGGCCACAGGTTCATGTGAACCCAATGTGGGAACCCAGGCACAAGAGTGCACCTTGGCCCGTTGGTGACATTGTGCACCAGTTCATACCAGGTCTTGTGATCGAATCCTTCTGGCCATATTGTTTTTTAAGTCTGTCTTTTTTAATTCTCTTTTTCTTTCCTTTTCTTCATTTTCTTTTTTTGGTACCTTTGCTGTTGTAACCGTGTTTCTTTTTTCTCTGTTTTCCCCTCCTTTTTGGTTACATAGCTATACTTCTTTCTGTTATGTTTCTCTTTCTTTTCTTTTTTTTTTCCAGTCCTTTTCTCTTTTTGTCATTTCTTTCTTTTCTTTTTGGTTCATTCTTCCAGTTTCAATTTTTTTTCTCTTCCTTTTTGGTTCCTGATTTACTGATCGTTTTTTTGTCATTTCTTTCTTTTCATGTTTAACTTTATTCTTTACATTTCAGAAGTCCCTTTTAAATTAAAAAGAAAAACAAAAACCTCCGGACTTCTGTTTCTGCATTTAAGCAACAATTTTACGACTATTGGGCACAGTTCTCCTAGTTTCTTATCATTTCTTTCTTATTATCTTTTCCTTCAGTATTTTTTTTATTAATTTGTGAAGTAAATATTTTTGGATAATAATGCTTTTAATGATCACTTTTAGAATATGAAATTTGTTAAGACAAAGTATAAATTGAATAACACCTTTTTTTGTGACGACGATTTTATGGAATCGGACCAAATGATGGTGTAAAGTTCTGTCATACTCTAAAATCCGGATACGTCTTTGTCCACCTCCACTATGCAACCGATCACCCATTGTTGGTTGTCACCACAACTAGCTACTATTTATATTTATCACCACTACCACCACTACCATTTCCATATAGCACTATCAACTATCTATATATATTGTCAATCACCTTGCCATTCACCACCACCCTTAGCTAAAACTATTATCTTCTACAATTATCAATTGCCATCAACAACTACCACCGTCATTAACTACTACTGCTAGCCACCATCACCGATTGCTACAAGCCATGACCACCATCATCCTCAATTGACACCCGCAACCATCACCGCAGGCCATCTCCATCATCAACCTCCATATAAGTTTTGATTTTTTTGTTGATATGGTTAATATTAGATTAGTTTAGTGTATTACTAAATTTTATATTTATTAGTTTGAAATGAAGAATTTATATTTTATTAATTTTGAAATGAAGACAAGTTTCACATACTTGAATGTTCAAAACACATCTCAAATGTGTTCAAATCCAAACATCTAAATGTTAATGCACATTTTATTATTTGGATGCCTGAATTTTAGGGGGAAAAAATAAGGCCTAATATTTCAATGTTTTACTCTCTTTTCATTACTTTGGAAAGGTTGAGAATGATTCTGTTTGTATTGTCTAAATTTGGTATAGCATATTCATCGTGGGCTGATCGATTTCCTAGCATTAAACAAGCTGTGGAGAGCTCAGGGCCATTTGGATTTCGATGTGTTTCATAGGACTCTTGGAAATTGTGGTGCTGATGAATTGAGTTGTAGTACACCTTGTATGAAGGGTATTGTCTTTCTGCAATCACTCACGGCATTTCGTTCCTGGGCTTCCCGTGGCTCAAGGAATCTGGAGAAGTGACAGTTATATTTATCACCAACTTTGCAGTAAAACTTGTGAGGGGGAATACACTTAAACATTTTGGATGGACTCGAGCTTTTCCTAGCATCTCCATGACAAGTTACTAGTTTTTTCTGTTGCTTGCATGATATGGTTCATAACATAGTGTTAGAAGCAAGTTGCATTAGTTATTTTGTTACTACTATTTCCTTATGTAAGTTTTTTAATTACATCTTTCCATCGAATGTGCTTGGGTGAGACACTTCCTACCGTGTGCCAAAATGAATATTTGATGTACCTTCCAAAATAGTAGTTCATTTTCAGCCATTATAGGAAAACAAGTACGATGTGCTAGTTCGACCCATGTGACCATACTGTACCTCTACTATCGCTCTTCCATTTCAATTTGTTTTTCTTATTTATTTCTTCTACTTCAATTTAAAATGGCATTTTCTTTGATGCTTTTTAAATTTTAAATGGAGGGAGTAGCAAGGGTGTACATGATGGGTTGATTCGGGTTTTTAAATATTAAATCAAATTATTTGTATAAAATTTTTAAATTTATAAATCAAATTGAACTAGTAAAATTTAATTTTTTTTTTGTGTTTTAACTTTGGTTTGTTTGAGTTTTCAAATACCAAATCAAAACATTGAGTCAAATTTTTGAACTTAGACCAAACCAAATAAAAAACCTGGATGTTTTTTCAAATTTCTGGATTTTTTCGGTAAAGTTTGCATACAAACATATAATTAACTTGTGCTTCAGATATTTTTTTAGTCCAATCAAAATACAATTATCTAAGGTGTGTATTTCATAAAAAAAATAACATAAAATATGAGATGAGTATTGATGACACAAAAATATTCAATTAAAAATAATAATGAAATCATCATATAAAATAAATATTGTAAAGTTATAATGAAAAGGATCATAATTTAAAGTACTAAATCACGCTAAAACAAGTTTAATAAGTATTAGTTACATTACTAAATATTTGAGGAAAATTAAAATTAGATTATGCATTTTAATTATCTAAACCAATGTAAAACTAAAAAATAAATATTCAATATTATTGTCATTCTTAGTGTTGAATTAATTTTTTTTTTGCATTAGTATTAATTTAATTTTGATTTACATTTTATTATAATTATCAACATCTATGAACTAAAATTTTATTGGATCATTTCGAATTCTATGTTTTAAACTTGAAATAATATATTAAAAGATAAAACTATGAGGTAGTATAAGAAATTTTTTAAAACTATATCAAAGTAAATATTTTTATGTATAAAATAAATTGTAAAATAACAGATCTAATGTCAGATTTTTTTTTAAAAAAAAAAAAATCAAACCAAACACCTAGTCGATTTTTTTCAAATTGACTCGATTTTCAGTTTGATTTTGTACACCCAATATTTTCTTTTTGATCATTGGCCAAGAAAATAGTCTTGAAATACTCAAATTTGTTTTATCCTTCTCAACTTTAGCTATTTGTTTGGTGGGTTGTTACTTATATTGTGCTAAACAGTGAACATATAATTTCTTTTTTCGTATAAGTGTTTCGCTTCATTTGTTTGCACTTAGTGGAGGATTGAATTTGAAAGGTTCAGATATAGGTTATTAAATGTAATTGTTTTTTCTACTTGAATTCTAATTCGAATAAATTAAATTTGTGATAGAACCTTATTCTCATAAGATTCTTTAGACAATATTTTTATTTTCGCAAAAAAATATGCCCCTTATTTCTATTCAGAAAACATTCAAGTTTCTCAATTTTATTAGTTATACAAGTTATTTTCTAAACTTTTAATAAAAACTTTATTCGATTAAAGTACAAAGTAACTTTATAAACATGTGTAGTTGAAATTGGTTGATGATTTTTTTATTTTATAGAAGAGTACATGGGCAA